TCCATCACCCACACCTGCGTTCATTTAGACATGGGGTCCATCCCCCAGGCCTCAGCCTTCCTTCCTGGAGATGGGTGTGACACAGGCTGGGAGGTTGCCAGGAAAGGGTTATGGGAGACGGGGGGGGGGGGGGGGGGGGGGGGAACGCGTACATAACAATGCCCCTCTTGGGGGCTTGGCCCTCAGCCAACACCACATTTACATTTTCTCATGGATGCTCCCCATCTTACACCTGCAGAGACAGCCCAGAGAGGCTGAGTCACTTGCCCAAAGTCACACAGCCAGGAAGGTGCCGAGCTGGAGTCCCAGCCCAGAGGTGTCTGGATCTAGAAGCAGATTCTTAACCCCGGCACCGAGTCCACGGAGAGGGTGGAAAGTGTAAATCATTGAGCTCAGCCAGGCACACACCACGGGTACCCCAGAAATGGCAGGTGCCCCAGAAACGGCAGGACTTTTCATGACATTCTTCTTTTACAAGACCTCGAGATCCCCTTCTTTGAGGATTCCATCCGTGTGAAAGCATTGGGATCTTCATTTGTTGTTGCGGGGCTCAAGAAGGACGCCACACTTCCCCGACCCCCAACCTCCGGCAAAAGCAGGTGCTTGCTTCACCAGCCCAAGCCTCTTCATTATTCATGGATGAGGAGCCCCGGTCGCTTCTGGGGAAGGACACCAAGGGACGGAAACAAAGAGACATCCCCTCTTAGAACCTTTTTGTACTTCTCGAATTCTGAGCTGTGTGATGGTGTCACTACCCGAAACACGCGTTAAACACTGAAAACATCTAACAAGTATGTTTTGAAGGCCACTAAGAGGCGGGAGGTGCGGACACAGGAAGGGAATCCCTGCAAGGACGACAAGCCTTTGCAGTGACTAGTCCAGGCCCCACAGGTCCCAGGAGAGGAGCGGACCCGGGGCTGGGTTAGACTTGTCCAGGTTCATCCCCGCCAACCATTTCACCAGAGGAGGGGGCCCAGGGAGGCTGGGCCGAGACCCTGGCAGCACTCACCCTTGGGCGCTCCTGGCCCGGGGCACATCTCCCCTACAGGGAGGGCCCGCACCGCCACTGGGCGTGGGGGATGAGGGGGACTGGGACTGATCCCCCCAGACCTGGGATGCTGTGGGGCTGGACCTCGTCAGCGGCATCCTTGTCTCACCAGCCCCCGCACAGGCCCACTGCCCAGCCCTCCACGTGGACCGGCTGGAGAAGGGCAGACACGGAGCTGGGAGAGGGGCCTCTCTGGCCTGCTGAGTTCCCAAAGGGACCTGGTGGTAGCAAAGGAAGGAAGTGATGATGGGGGTGGGGGGTGACCCTGAGAACGCTGCAGCCTCCTCCCCTCCCCTCCCCGGCAGTGGTGGGGGCCTGCAGGACTGCATCCTGGCCATGCGGATGCTGACCCCATGAGGTGTGGGGTCAGGAAGGAAGGGGCTGGAGTTGCCAGGCACGCAGGGAAGAGGGAGAGACCTTGCAGGCGCAGAGATGACACGCTGATGATGCTGGCGGCGTGCTCTGGGTGCCAGGACCCGTGGACACTCTCATCTACCGCCCCCCCCAGGGAGGGCAAGGCTAAGACCTGAGCACATCTCTGCCTGCTGTGGCCCTGTGGCTGGTACAGCACAGCACTCTCAAGGGGATCTGGGCCCAAGCATCCGGGGACCAGCAGGGAGAGGTACCCACAGAAGGCGCCAGTCCCAGGCTGAGTTGGGGCTAGGTTCCCAGGTGACACTCAGGTCCCCTCCAGATACCCCGGGATTGTCTTTGGGCTGGCAGAAGGACCAGCAGGCCGTGGCTCATGGTGTCCTTGGACCTGAGCTCTTGCCCTGGGCAGGATGGCCCTCTGTGCTCTCTCACTGCCCTCCCCAGGCTGGGCTGGAGTCCCAGAAACTGCTCCAAGGGGGCCTTGTTTTCCCCACAGGCCCGAGGCCAGAGACCAGAAGCAGCCCCCCAGTCATTGAAGAAGCCCGAGGAAGGGTCGGCATTGAAGGAAGCCAAGCTGAGCTGGCGAGGAGAGACTGGGGAGCCACGCAGGAGAATGAGGGTAGCCAGGCAGAGACCAGACCAGGGATCAGATGGCAGGGCCCAGGACCCCCGCTCTGGGGGCAAAAAGGATGTCCTGCTCCATAGGGGAACGCAGACACTGGGCCCGGCCCCTCTGTCCCCAGGCACACCACAGGCTCACACACGCACCCAGGCTTCCGTAGCAGCCAGACAACCTGGCCCACAAGTCCGGAAGCTGCCCTCTGACGGCTGGGCCCTCCCCCATGCTTGGCCTGGACAACAGGATGGCCAAGGAAATACGCTACACTCTTGGCAAGGCCTCCTGGGACGTGGTGGGCAGGGAGAACGGGAGGGTCTGGGGCAGATGGTCAATGGCCAGAGTCTGGCTCCCTTGGTCTGGCCCACCTCTGGGCCCCAGCCTTCCTGACCACCCGCCTCAGGGCCGCTGTCTGGCTTCCTGCTCATCCCCGCTTAGCCCCGGGAAGCCAGCCCCAGTGTCCAGACCCTGCTAGGCCCACAGGAACATGCACGAGGCCCACACACCCGCCTGGGCATGAAGGTTCCGGCCAGGAAAACCTGACTTCCTATCTCCAGGCCCAGACACGCTCAGGAAGGGAGCCTGGGTTTCGGCCCAAAGCCTTTCCCCCGCGGCAGGAAGCTCCTGTCAGAGAATGGCTCCTCCGCTTCTGTTCCCAGCCTCCTCCGGGCGCCTTCCCCGCTCACCCACCCCACCACCTCAGGCTTCACTACCCCTCAGAGCCCCCCACTGCCGCACAGCCGCCCACTCAGCCTCTGTTTGCAGCCCGGGGCTGGCTTCTAATTCAGCCTCCCCAGCCTGGGGGCACAGACAGCCTCCTCTCACGTTGTGGGAAACAGAGGCACAGGGAGGTGCCTCTGGGTGCCACAGAGAGGTGTCCCATGGCTGGGACTAAACCCTCTTCCCCCCCAGCTCTGGAGCCTGTCTTGGAAACCCAACCCTGGGACGCTCAGCCTCCGGCCAAGGGGCTCGGGCAAGGCCAGGCCTGTTAGGGATGGGGTCAGGGCCAGGGGCTGTGGGAGGAGGCTTCCACGAGGAGACTGGGGCTCTAACATGGGGTACGGGCTCCCTAGGGAGAACCAGGCTGGGGTCTGATCCAGGCCTCCTACCCCACCCAGGCGGTGCCCCTCCGACACCCCCCTTCTCCCTGGCTACCCCCCTTCTCCTAAAGCTACCTATGCTGGGGCCCGCTGTGCAGCAGCCTCTACCCTCTGTGTGCCTCAGTTTCCCAACAGCAGAAAGATGCAACGATTGCTTGTCAGCGGCAGCGCTGGAACATGCCCTCCCCCGCCCCCCCACCTCCCCCACTCCCCTACACTCCCCCGCGCTCCCCCCCACCCGCCTGGAGCCTGCGCATTGAACCATAGCCTCTCCTTGCCCTCATTTCTGCCCCACCCCCCTCCGGTTCCCTGCTTAGGGAGGTCTGGACATCCACTCAGCCCCCTGCCTGCCCACCCCTGACCCCCAGCCCCCGGGTATCCATGGAGGGGGCTGCCCCTGGTACCTGCTTCCACTCCCCTCAGGAACCCGACAACACTCAGACTTGGCTGTGTTCTCTGGCCTTGGCCTAGGGGCTGTGGCAGACCTGGCTGTGGCAGACCTGGCCATCCACGGTGTGGGGAGGTGGGCCCCGACGGAAGCCGGGGAGTCCTATCCCCCACCTGCCAGGGCCTGCCGCCTGTCCGAACCCTCATCTTGTGCTCAGAAGACTTGTCCTCACTGGGTGATCAGGACCTTGGCCCACCTGCAGTCACTTGCCCCCTACCACTGGTGGTCAAGGTCAGGTTCAGAGAGCCGGTGGTCTGCTGCAGAAGGGCGGTGGGAAGGCACCCACGTCTGGCTGCCCGTCTCAGTGTCTCCCCCCACCATCTCCGTGCTCAGGCTCTCTGGCAATCTAGAGGCTGCCCATGCAAATGAGTTTCCCTGTAGCCTTGCCAGGAGGTAGGAGTCAAATTCCAGGGCCAAGCTTCTGGGAGAGAAGGGGGGCGGGGAGGGGTAACAGGTGCACACTGGAGGGATCTCCTTGCAGCCCCGCCTCACAGAGCTGAGACTAGCAGGCTCAGCACCCCCCACATATACTCCCCGGGTGACACTTGCCCTGCTGGAAAGTCCCTCTCACATCTAACCCAAATACTTCAGGCTGCAGAACACGTCTTGGCCTTTTCTTGTCTCCCAGGAGCCCGGGCCTGTTGAGAACTGACAGAGCAGTGCCCACCCCTGCTGGGTGAGGTTCACTTGGCATGTGAGGCCAGTGGACCCAGGATCCCAGGGTTAAAGACTGTTTTCTCTGCAGCCACAGGCACAGGCCTTCCCAGCTCTGGACCTGCCTCAGTCTCCCCAGCTCTGGACCTGCCTCAGTCTCCCCATTTGTACAATGGGCAGAACCCACAACCACAGAATTTTCCATCCCAACCCCTCGCTACGTGGAGACCCACACCTTCTGCTCCCAGCCAACTCAGACCTGCTCCCTCTTTCGGGAGGCACCATTTTAATTCACTTTTATTTTCAAAATAAATACTCTGTCCTTCACATTCGAACTGGGGGTGGAGCTGGACCGTTGGGCAGGGAGGCCTCCCCTGGAGGGCAGTCCTGAAGGGAGCTTCTGCCCCCCCCCCAAACACTCTCCTGCAAATGCCCGACATGCCTCTCTTCTCGCCCTTCCTCCTGGGGCGCAGCCACCGTGTCTGAGGGTGAAGATTCCTCATCATGGGCTTCAAGGCTGGCAGCAGGGCTGAGCGCATCTCCCTGGGCTCCAAGCCTGGGGCGAGGTGCCCTCGAGCTAACGCAGCCCCCCAACCTGGGCCCGCCCCCTCCCAGACTCAGGCCGTTATATGCAGGCGATCAGCAGGTCCATGGAGGCAGGCACCTCGATCTCTTCGAAGAGCACGTGGCCCCCTGCTGCCCCGGAGCCCCCTTCCTTGGCCGCAGCCCTCAGCAGGCCCTGGGCATGCTGCAAGAGCCGCTGGTTCCGCCGGCGGCCCAGTCTGCGCAGTGCTAGGATGGCCAGCACGTGGTCCCGCCTGCAAAGACACGGCTCTGTCCCTGCCAGCCCATCTCTAGGGGCAATCCCGACTTTGAGGGAGGGGAAGCCCTGGGCTCAAGTGCAGGGCCACCCAGCATTCCTGGGGCCCAGCCTGAGAAAGGTCAAGAATGATCGAGGCTGAGGGAGGGGGCAGTGCCCCGCACAGGGTGGCTAGGGCTCCAAGGGTGCTGAGCTGGGTGGGGAGAGGAGGGATTGTGCCCAACAGGGACAACAGTCCAAGCTGGAGGTCAAGAAACAGTGGAGAAGTGATCGAGAGAGTGGGATGGCCTCCAGGAGAGGGGGTCCTGGCCAGGAGGTGTCCCGGGCCTCTTCCTGGGAGCACTGTGCAGGGAGCCACACACACAGGCAGCAGGGAGAGAGGCAGCGTGCAGTGGGCGGGCAGCCCTGGCTCAGCAGCATCCGGAGTCCCCCCTCCTCCCCCCTCCAGAAGGTGGGGGCAGGGGAGGAGCTGGTCGAGTGTAGAGGAACCCCAGGGACCAGGGGGAACCCCCCTTGCGCTCTGAGGGGGTAGTCATTTCCAGCCAAAGACAGAGTCCAGGCTGGGGAAAAGGGCTTTGCCCTGGGCTCTCTGTTGCCTCCCCATCCTGGACTCTCCAAGGTTATGGAGAGGTTGGGGTTGGAATTTCCACAGGATCGATGACTCACCATTCTCCCCAACACACCCCCAGGGATCAAAGTCTCCTTCCTCCTGTCGGGGTGTCAGGAGTCTCCAGGCTCCCAACAGGGCTTTCTTGCAGAGGGGCCATGCTTCCCCTTCAAACTCAGGGATGGGTACTTGTCTCTGGGGTCTGATGCCCAAGGAGGGGCCATGACCACAACCCACTCCCCCAGGCTGTAGGGGTCTCCCCATCCAAGGGCACTGAAGGAGAGTGGCCCAGAATAGCTTCTGAAGGAGGGCTAACCCCCGCTCCTCCCCCGTCAACCCCCTCATCCCCCTCACCCTGCCTGAAGGTCAGGGACCATGGTCCCCAGGCACTGGCACCTAGTGGCCCGAGGAAGCGCCCACCTGGCCTGCCTGGCGGCCACCCTGCCCACCAGAAAAAGCTGTGCCTCCCTGGGGTTCCTCCCCTGCCCACCTAGAGACACAGGGACCCTCTGAAGGCACCAATCCCCCTGCCCTGGGGCCTGGTGGCCTTCTGTCCTTGGAGGCCCATGAGGGAGCAGGTGGGTAACAGACCTGATGTCAGGGTAGCTCCCGATGAGTGTCTCCAGGTGCCTCAGGATGTCGTCTTTGTAAGTCTCACCCAGTATGTCAGCCACACATGGGATAGCCTGGTCCAGCCACGTGGCCTCAGAGCCCTACAGAGACACGGAGACAAGTGCTGGCCGGGCCACCTGCCCCCAGAGCCTCCTTGCCTCCCGTGCCCGCAACCCCTCCATTAGTGCCCCGCGAGCCCACCGGCCCCTGCAGCCGCCCTGCAGCCGCCACCGCGTCCCTGCTATGACTGCCTCCTGCGCTTGTGGCGGAAGGGGCCTCGGGCCTCGGCGGTGGACTCGGCCACCTTCCCTTCCCATAATACAGTGCAGAGATGTCTTGCCGTCTCTGCTCAGATGGGTAAACTGAGGCCCCGGCCCAGAGGTACAGCCCAGAATCCTACAGAGTGCGGGACACCAAGAGCCCAGATAAGAGGTGTGCGTGTACGAAATGCCCCAGCTCCAAAGGCGGGGTCGGGGGACTGGAAGATCCTCCCACAGGCCCCGCCCCTTCCCGACTCGCCCCACCAACCCACCAGCCGTATGCAAATGTATGGAGATGACCGCCACCTAGCCCCGCCCCAGCCGCGCCCGGGGAGAACCCCTTCTGCCAAAGCCCACCCCGCGGGGGCTCTTGCGGAGGCCACTACAATGAGAACGGGGGTGCCCGCGGAAGGTCCCCAGGCCAGAGGCCCCAGAGGAGGTGGGGCCTCGGGGCTGGCCGTGGATGCTCCTACCAAACCCTGGAAGGTGTCGCCGATGGCCTGGGCGTCGACGCCCATCTTCTGGGCGCTCCTCATGCGCTCCTCACCCCGGAACCGCTCGCGCGGCCTCAACACCTGCGCCAGGTACTCTCGGACCACGTACCGGTGCAGCTCCTGCAGGGTCTCCTGGGCGGGCCGGCAGCCGCATCAGGGTCAGAGTCAAGGGCCCCGCCCAGCACGCGTCCCCGCCAGAGCCCTGTGCCCTTGAGATACCTGCGCCCGCAGTGGGGCCATGTGCTCCAGATGGCCGGCGAAGGCCACCACCTTGTCCATGAGGGGTTGCAGCACGTCTTGTGTCAGCCACGCCTTGGTGCACAGGTCCCTGAAAAGCGGCTGGGAGCGGAGGGGGACAGGAGTCTTCCAACCATATCCTCCTCCTCCCCAGAACCTCCCCTCAGAGTCCAGTGCCTGGCTCCTCACAGGAGCGTTTCGGGTCAAGGGACAGCCTGTCCCCAGGAAGAAACTCTGGAGGGGGTATCTGGCTCCCTTCTAAAGTCCCCCTGGTAACATCTCCTCTCTCGGCCAGGAATGTCACCAGGCCCTTAGCAGGAACACCTCGTCCGGGCCCTGAGCTCCAGTGGACAGGGTTTGAGTGTGAACCTCTAGGCAGGCCTTGCTTAGGGGAGCCTGGGGAGGCCCGAGGGGCTGGGTGAGGGGTCTGATTCCTTGAACCCATCTTCTCGGAGAGGTGGAGACTGAAGTCAGTAGGCACCTCCTGACCTCATTGGTCAGTTCAAGTCCCTTGCCCACACCCCAGCGTACCACCCCTGAAGCTGCTATGAACCCAGGGCACAGGGAGCACCTACTGGGTGTGGAAAGTGGGGAGGGAAGCCCCACTCACTTGCACATCACCCTGCAGGCCCTGGAGCAGCCGTTTCTGGAAGGTACGGGTGGCAGCCACTAGAGGTTTCTCCAGCTCTTCAAAGGTTCCTGGGAACCTAGCCAGAAGACTGGTCCTGGGGTGGGGCCAGGACAGGGGAGGAAGTGGGCAAGGGGGAGCAGGCTGTGGAAGGAGTTCCAGCATACAGCCAAGGAGCCTAGGTGCCACACCAACTCTGCGAACTTAGACTAGAATGTGAAGGGCAGCCCCTAGGGCTGCACATGGTAGTAACCCTGAAGGTGAGATGATCCCTCTAAGACATTAAGTCCCCACGCAGCCCTCAGGAGCAGGTGCTCCGATCTCCATTTCACAGGTGACAGAAGGAAGCACAGAAAAGGGAAGTGACTTATCTTGAGGCACACAGCAAGCAGGTGGCAGAGGTAGGATGGGACTCCAGCAGGGGTGGCTCAAAGTCCACCCCCACAGCTGCTGGTGGTCCACAATGTGGGGGACACCGAAGCTGGTCCTGGTGTTGAAGGCATAGAAGGGGGGCAGCCGCTGCCAGCAGAAAGGGGGGGGGGCTCTGCCTTCTGGGGGCAGAGGGACCCAGGTGCCACCCCCAGAGTAGTGGGGAGAATGGAGAGCCAGGGAGGGCTTCCCAGAGAAGGGAGTGTCCCTGAAAAGGAAGATGGCTAATCTGGATGAAGGGAGGAAAGAAAGGAACCCATGGTGACAGGGGACACACTGGGCAGGCACCAGGCCATGACTGGGCTAGCTGGAACTTCTCCTCTGCTCTGCGGTGAAACTCCCTGCATCCCTTCCAGGGCCTCAGCTCTGAAGGGCGGAGGGAGGACCCTCCAGCGGGGGCGGGAGTGGAGACGGGGCCATCCATGGAGGCCTTCTGGGAAGTCCCCCAATGCCTCCGCGGGGTCCAGATTCCTCCCCGGTGCCAGCTGGCCGCCGCGGGTGCTCAGGGTGCCCGGTTCCCCGAGCTCGCGCGCCCCCTACTGGCGGCGCTGGGCACCTCCTCTGCGGAGGAGCAGGAGAGACCCACCGGAGCTCCTCGCAGGCGTTGATATTGGCGCCCAGATGAGGTTCGCTCACCGCCTTCGACTCTAGAAAAGCCTTTGCAAACCTGGGGGCGAAGTACGGAGAGGCCTTAGGGACCCCTAGTAGCGCGTCAGCCCTCTGCTCAGGTTCCCACCCAGACCCCCAGGGCCTTATAACAAGGCCCCTCCCTCTCACCTGTCCTGAGATCTCAGACTGAGCAAACAGGTTGGGCTCTCCCTCCCCCGCACCCAGGGACGAGGGCCGTCCACACCCTGGCCACTCCACCCACTCCATCCCCAGGCGGAGGAGGTGGCCGCACCTGGGCAGGAAGAGGCCAAGTGCACGTGCACAGATGCTTTGGGTGGTGGCCTCCAGTTCTGCAGAGATGGCACCGGCCGCCTTCACGTGCTCTGCCACAAGCTGCAAGAGATGCCATCCGCTGAACCCATGTCGGAGCCCAGATCCTGATGCCCCTGCCCCCACCTGTGGCCCAGAGGTGTCCCCAGCTTGCCCTGCTCTGTCTCCCCATCTCAGCTACAGCTTCCAGAAGCTCCTCCCTGTCCCCACATCCACAGGCCACTTGCCAAGCTGGGCGCTGAGCCCTGGGGATCCCAGCCTGGCATGTGACCCAGGGTCCCTGATTCCACCCCAGGTGGGGCCTCAGGCTCTCGGCTAATGGGGAAAGGAGATTGGGACTGGATCGTATAGTTCTGGGTGTCCCCACCTCAAAGGGGACCAAACAGCACCAGAGGCCCAAGTATGCTTCCCTCCCCCCAAGGCTCACCATGTGGACATCGATGGACAGCGGCGTGTGGTAGAGACCCTGTAGCACATCGGGGGCCTCCATGTCTGCCCACCGACTCTGCTCTAGCTGCAGGATGCTATCAAAGCAGCTCATGACCTTGGTCTGTGCAAGGTGGCGAGAGGGCACAGTGAGACCCTCCCAAGAAGGCGGTCCCAGTTCCCCTACCTCCTGAGCTGTCATGCACCCTTGGAGGAAAGGACCACCCTGCTGGGGCATAGGCCTATGCCAAAGGCCACACGGTGAGAAGAAGGGACTCTGGCCTGATCCAGGGCCACACACCCTGGGTGACTCTGGGCACCACACCTCCCCAGGATGAGGCAGCCATATTCAGCCTGGACCATGCCCCTCAGGCCTGGCCCCTGGCCTCACCTCTAGGAAGCTGGTGTAGTCACTCTCCAGGCGGGCCCACAAGGCAGGAGCCAGAAGTGGGGGTAGTGGCTCCGTGGACAGGGTCAGGTCTGGGGCACCCAGAAAGTCAGGACTGGAAGGCAGGGTAGGGGCTGAGGGCCTGGGCTGGGCTCCGATGCACGAGTGGCTGCCCCGAATTTCCCCCTGGCCAAGCCTAACACCATCACCAAGCACCAGGCAGCTCAGGGATCTGCCACTCCCCAGCCCCCACCAGGGAGATCCAGAGAGTGACGGGCACCTGCCTGAGGCCACACAACAAATTAATGAGCCCAGGAGTGTTTAGTCACCCTCCTCCCACCTGCTCTCTGGCCTTCAGAGCTGAGAAGTGCTCAGAGGCGAAGGTAATCCACCCCATCACACCATGCAGAGCTGGGGGTGGGAGCTGGCGACAGGCGGGGCCCTGTACCTAAGGGCCGGTCCAAAGGGAAGAGTGGGGGTGAGATCCAGCTTCTGTGAGCCGCCCTGTGTCTGGCCTGGAGGGCTGCCCTTTTGTAAATGCGCAAAGACACCCTGTGGACTAGCACATGCCCTCTCTCTGGACTCCTCTCGGATGTTTTCCCGCTTTCAGGAACGGGTGCATAGGTGGCCCCTTAAGAAAATTATGGTGGGAGAGTACCAGGGCCCAAGAAGAAAAGAATGTCAAAGTCCCTGGGATCTCTGCTGCCCAACCACCAGCCCTCCCCCAGGGAAGAGAGAAGAAAGGAGCCCCGAGCTGCCCAGGGTGAGCGGGCACCCACAGGCCTCTGGCTGGGCAGCGGCCAGGCGGGCAGTGCCAGCCTCTGGGGTCTCCCGCGGCCGCTGGCTGGGGCCTCACCTGCCATAGACATTGACCGCCCAGTCCAGCAGGACATAGAGCTGCTCGCAGCCCCGGGCGTCCTGCGCGAGCTCCTGGAGGCGCTGGGCCACCGCACCGTGGAAGGCGCGCAGGTAGGCCTCCCCGGCCGGGAAGCCGGCGGCCGAGTAAGCCGGCAGCACCTCCCGCCGCACCTCCTGCAGGTCGCTGCGAACCACGCCGCCCAGCTCGGCCAGCAGCTGGGCCAGGCCCGACGCTCCCTCGGCCTCGGCCGCCCCAGGAGCCGCCCCGGCGCCCGCCTGCCGCACGCGCTCCTGCGCGCTCTGCCTCACCGCGTCCTCCCAGTGCTGGCGCCAGCGGCGCGGGGTGAGCAGGAAGTCGCCGTCGGCGGGGGGCTCCGGGTGCGCCGCCTCCTCCGCGCACACCGTGCGGGCCAGCTCGCCGATCGCGGCCGCGTCCACGCCGCCCGGGCCCAGCGTCTCGCGCACGATGGCGCCGATCTCGGCCGCCAGCCCGTCGTAGTGCAGACACACGTCCATGGCGCGCCGCGCGAAGCCCGTGGGGTCCTCCTGGAAGCTGTGCGAGGCTTTCTCGGCCACAAGCCGCGCCTCCAGCTGCCGCAGCTGCTCGAAGGCCGCCAACAGCTGGCGCTCGGTGATGAGGTCGGCCACGGATTTGCCTTGTGCTAGGACGCGCGAGGACACTGGCAGTGAGGGTGCTCGGCAGCCTGGGGGCCCAGCTCCAGTGTGTCCCGCCCTGGCAGCCCCCCAGGACCTCCCTCCGGGCGCATGGCTGCCAGGAGCCCCCCCCCCCCCCTCCCCGGGACCTGAGAGGACCAGGGCCTTGCCCATCCCTCTAGTTTGGCCAGGAGCCAGGCTGTGGACCACGATGGGGAGGTGAGGGTTCTCGAGTCCTGCAGGTCCGGGTTCAAATCCCATTTCCCCACTTCCTGGCTGTGAGACTTGAGGCAAGTCCCTTAACCTCTCTGAGTCTCGCTTGTCTCACTCTCACCTCTCTGAGCCGCCCCGTGGAGGCTCCCCTGGTTGAAATGCTGGGAGGATGTAAAATGCGGTTGGGCAGGGCAGTGTTTGGGGGAGCTGGGGAGGACAGCCTGTCAGGAAGCCTGGGCCCTGCTGCTCACCCTCTGGCCTCAGATTCCCCCCATGCTCAGTATTGTTTGTGAAGCTCTCACCTGCCTCAGGTTCCAGTTCCTCACGTCCCACCCCAGTGGAGGACTGCCGGCGGCCACCATCCATGACCCTAGAGGGCACCTGTGGGTCGTGGGTCACCCCTGGCACAGCCGTGGCCTGGGACTGGTCAGCCGTGGAGCCGTCCTCCCGGGCTCGCCGTAGGGACCGGGACAGGAAGCGCGAGCTGCGCTGGAACAGGCCCAGGTTCTCCTCGGGGGCCTGGCCTGAGGCCCGCTGGCTTGACCGGGAGAAGGCCCGCCGGAATGTGCCCAGGCCCGGCCAAGTGTCCTCATGGCGGGTGCCGGGAGCTCCCTCACCGCTTGCCCGCCAGGTACCCCGCACTGGTGGGGTCTGCAGCTTCTTCGCAGGCTCCTCGGGGCTGTGCAGCTCCGGCCCAGAGATCACGGTCTGTGGCAACGACATCTTGGTAGCAGGAAAGCTGGAGATGAAAAGGAGGCTCAGGAGCTCTGGGGTGGGGGAGGGGTGGTGTCCGCCCTGGGGAATAGGCATGGAAACCCCGTGAGAAACCTGTGAGACCTCAGGGAGCCCAGCAGCTGGACTTGGTCCGGGAAGCTTCTCCCAGGAGATGGCCCTAGGCCGGCACCAGGCAGCTCTAGTGGCCGGGGCTGTCTTTGTGCCAGGCTGCAGCTGGCTCTGAGATGCAGACAGCTCCTTCCTTCTGGAAAACTTCCCTGACACCACCTTCCCCAGGGCAGTGCCCCCTGGCCCCATGCCGACCCTCCCTGACTTGGCCAGGCCAGACCCTCCCGTCAGAATGGGAGAGGAGAGTTGAACTTGCACTGTTGTCCTGTGGCCCAGCCCAAGCCACAGCCCACAGCCCCCGGGGCTGGGCCCAGCAACCACATCCAGGATTTCCTGGATGTGAGGTCCTGAGGCCTAAAATGCCCACCCCCCCCCCCGCAGCCTTCACTGCCCTCCCCCCCACCAAAGCCCTCAGTGCACCCTTATTCAGCCCATCGGGCCTAACTGCTTCTGCTCAAAGGGGAGCTAAGGGACCTCTGTAAGAGTCTACCCCTTCTCTGGGTAACTCAGAATTAGAGGGAAGCGGGGTCAGGCCTGAGGTCTGTGGCCACCCCCCGCTGTTCCCAAGGCTTATCTCCCTATCCAGCCTTGCAGCACTGTAGGGGGCATGGTGAGAGGGACCTGGAGGTCCCCAAGGCAGTACTCCCTCATTGCTTCTCCTTTCCACCCAGCCCTGCTGTGCTCCCCAGTGACGGGGTACCGAGGGGGTCTCTAGAGCATGGAGGTGCAAAACAGGGGCCGCCCTTGCCCACCCTGGGCTCCAGGCCTGCCCCAGGGTACACTCACACTCCCTTGTGGCACAGCCTGGCCTGTGTTTGATTTTCTGCCTCTAGGTAAGGCTGGCATGGGAGAGAGGAGACTCCTCAGTGTTGGGGGACCTCCCACCCACCCCTTTGTGATGGTGTGGCCGGGGTGGGGGCTCTCTTAGACCAGCAAGGTCTTACTTTAGCCTTGGAGAAGTGTGCCAAAAGGAGGGCTGGACCTACTGAAGTCACAGACCAACCAGAGGCCAGAGCCCCCAGCCCATCCCCAGGTTACCCCCACTCCCAGGACAAAGGTCAGGCTGTCACCTGACCCTTGGGTGCCATCAGGCAGGAACACCACTTCCCAGGCCCCCATTTGCCTTGGTGGGGATGACACTGGGATGGTCAAGGCCCAGACCCTCACCCACCCCCCGAATGTCCTCCAGGGGTCAGACACACAGGTCGTCAGTGAAGCCCTCCTTTCCTGTTCCCAGAGGCCACCTAACACCTGGAGAGAGGCCTTGCTGAGGGAGAGGCTGGAGCAGGTGATTGATGGGTTCTTATCAGCCCTGCCCAGGTCACAGGTCATCGTCCTCTCCTGGGCACTGGGACTCAGGGACCCTGCCCCATCTCGGACTGACCCACACACGCAGGGAACATTGTCCAGAGCTTTCTTCCCTCCCCACCCCCAGCTCCCTTGTGCCCGGGGCCCCTCAGCCACCAGCAGGGTCCGGGCGACCTGTGCTGTGCCCAGATGTGCTTTGAGTATCGTCACTAGGGGCATGGGGGAAGGTCAACTGGGCCCTGTCTTGGATGGGGAGAGCTTACACTTGGTAAACACCTACTGTTTGCCCAGCCCAAGGCCTGGCGCACATCAGATTTCCCTAACAACAAAGTTGCAGGGTGTCACCTCATCTCATACATGAGCAAACAGGCTCAGAAAAGAGGCAGGGTCTTGCCTCCAGCCACACAGCTCAGAGTCATGGAGCCTCAGGAGCAGAGCCTGGGTCCCCGCGTCTCCCAGCTACAGTGAGCCACGCTGCTGCCCAAGGAACCCTTTCTCCTGGCCGAGGCGCCCACAGTGGCAGCTGCTCCTGGACGCCAGGAGTGAGGCCGAGAGGCAGATTCGGGGGAAAGGAGGGACGGCTGGCAGTATGGGTCTTATGTGAGGCTACACAAGCAGACGGGTCCCCCCAGCCTGCTCGACCACCCTCATCCAGAACCGGACCTGTCCTGAAGGCCCCTCGAGGCCCCCAGCTGGTCTCTCTGCCCTCTTTGACCTTGCTCCCACAAGGTCCAAGCCGTTATTGACCCTTCCACAGCACTAGTCAACCAGGTCACTCCCTTGCTTTAAGCCCTTCCATGGCTCCCCAGATCCTGGCACCCAGAGCCCCCCACCCCTGAACTTCCTCCAACCTCACCTCTGGGCCTCCTTGACCTGCACGCTTCCAGCCTCCCGGGCACCTCTTTGGCCCGCGAATGTCCAGCCTCCCAGCTCCCTCTCAGGCTGCTCCCTCTCCCAGCCTCCCCATCTTAGCTCTCCAAATCTGACCTGGATTTCGGGGCCCAGGGGATATGGGTGCCCCCACCTCCAAGGTGTCTTTGGGCTGTGCTGCCCAGTGTTCCTGTGGCGATGGGCTTTCCTTCCTGGCCCGGGAGTCTCTGTCCATCGGCCCCGTGCCCATCAGCCCAGAGCCAGCCTGGTGGAGGAGGGGACCATCAGGTTCAGGGTCCCCGTTGCGATCCTGGCCGGGCCCCACACCGGTATCTGCTGGCCCCCATGCCCTGTGGACTCCACCTTGACCCCGCCCCATACCTGCCTCGGCAGCCTTTCTGGACAACAGTCCACACCTCCCGCTCAGGGCCTGGTTTCACGCTGGGTGTCCTGTGACTGAGGGACGGTGGCATGGTGTGGGGCATCTGCCCCTGAGCCACGAGCCCCCCAGGGCGGGGAGTGGGCCTGACTCAGCCCCCAGCCAGGCCCGCCCAGTACCTGGCAGGTACCCAAGGAAAACAGATAAGCTATCTAACGTGGGGGGAGGCCTGAGGGGTTTCCCCCTTTTGTGTGGACGGGCCTTGTGTATTAACCTGAGTGTGTCCCCCTGTACATGTGTCTCAGAGGCCTGTGAGTGGCTCTGTCTGTGAGTCCGTGTGTCTGTCAGTGCCCATGTGTGGGTCTTTCCATCCGCATAGCTGCGTTCTGCGTGTCTGTGTCTGCACCCGGTGATTTGAGCTGCGCTCGGGCCTGGGCTCCGAGCTGAGATCCTTGGCCCAGAAGGCCACTGGCAGACCCCGAGCCCCTCAGCCCCCTGAGTCCCCGCCCACTTCCCGAGGCATCCCCGCAGCCCTCCTGGGCCACCTGCACCGAACGTACCTGCTGGGTGAGGAGGGCCCAGGCCCCAGGCAGGACGGAGCTGCCAGGAGAAGCCTGCTGAGCCAGGGCCCGGGAACTGGGCCTCGGTGCTAAGGCCTCTGGAGCAGCCCGAGTGAGTGACCAACAGCTGGGACTTCCCAGCCTGGTCTGTGCACGCCCTGGGCCCACCGGCCCCACCCCCCGCCCCCCCCACCCCCCCACCCCAAACCCACAGTTTCACTTTCAGAAGTGCCCCTCCTGTCGCAGACACTATTACTCCAACCTTTGATTCCCAGCAGTCCACGTGCAGGCTGTCAGGGAGCACGGCAGGGGAGGGGCAGCCCTTCAGGGCTCAAGGCAGTGTGAGGGGGACCCTTCTGTGGTCCCACTGAGGCCATGGGGCCAGAGGCACCGGCCTGCCGCGGTGGGCGGCATCCCAGCCCAGAAGAAGCCCTCCCTCTTCTGGGCCCGTGTGCCCAAGGAGAGCCAAGAACCCATGGGGCACGGGGGTGGGGGTGGGGGGGATAGTTCGGGAGGATGTCACAGTGACAGCAAAGGGAATGTCATAAGCCACAGGCCATTCCAGAGGGCTTCAGGAGCTAGCGTGGGAGGGGGCTCAGGGGGAGAAGGATTCCGCTCAGGAGTGAGGAGAGATGGCGCTCTGGGCAGCGGTCAGCAAAGGTGTGGATGTGGCCTGGGCCTGCGGAATGGAGAGCACAGGCCCTCCTCCCCCACCGCGGATCCAGCTGGGGAGGGTTTGTGGGGAGGGACCCTGAGTCTTCCCAGAAGAGGCAGGCCCCACATCTTCATGGGGGGATTCCGGTGCTGGCATCCTTGGAAAAAACTTAGGGAAAATCCAAGGAGGACTGATCCAGGCCTGAGCAGGCTGGAGCCTCCGGGCGGGGGGCAGAGCCAGGCAGTTGGAGACAGGCTCGTGTCCAAGGGCTGCCAGGACACAGCGCCATTGGCTGGGGGGCTTAAGCAGCAGACATTTATTTTTCCAAGTTCTGGAGGTGGAAATCTGAGATCCAGGTGTCAGCAAAGCTGATTTCTCTTGAGGCCTCTCTCCTGGGCAGGTGGACGCCATGCTCTCCCCGCGTCCTCACACGGTCGTTCCTCCGTGCGTGTCTCTGTTTCTGTTCTTATGAGGACACCAGTCCTATAGGATCAGGACTCACCCTAATGGCCTCATTTTAACATAATCACCTTCTTCAAGGCACTATCTCCAAATATAGTCACCTTCTGAGGAATTGTTGGGAGTTAGGACTTCAACGTAGGGATTTTCGGAGGACAAACTCCAGCCCACAACGGATTGGAAGGCACCTGAGATGCGGCAGTGCCCCACTGCCATCTGTAGCCAGGTCAGATCGGACCCAGAGATACCAGCACCTCCTCCAGGAAGCCCTCTGGCTTCCCACTTGAGTCACGAGCCCCCTGAGCCCTGGGTACCCCTCTGTGAAACAGGGTCACAAGTCTCAACTTGAGCCCCGTGGGCTGGAGGTCCCCGCTCCCAGCTCAGGCTAGTCTGCTCGCCGGCCTCCTGCACCACGTGTTTCCAGCAGTCAGAATCCGAGAGATGGGAGGGGAATGCACAGCTTCAGAGACGGACACCCCACAGTGACAGCCCTGGGCTCTTCTTTGGCAGTCCCAGGGCTTCTGTGGAGTGAATACCTCCACCCTCATTGCACTGGAACACCGACTCAGAGGCGTAGGAACCTGTCCACGGCCCACAAAGCTGGTGAGACAGAGGCCAGGATGCCATCCCCGGGTCCTGCCTCTGAGGACTGGGGTCTTCCCATAGGGCGGGGCCTTCCTGGTCTCTACTTCACAGGGCACATTAGGGTCACCTCCTCTCAAGAGAGGGGTCCCCGGAAAGCTGGCAGCACCCAGGGCCTGGGGAGTTGGCCAGGCCTCTCCCAAGCTCCCAGCTCCACCCCGCACCCATTCCCAGCCTGGGCCCACTTTTCAGCAGGAGGCTGTGCTGGTTCTTTCATCCCATCTTCCACGCTGTGGTTTCCCAATTGCCTCAGTAAAATCCCTGTAGAAAAGTCCCAGCCTTGTCTCCGTTAAAAAAAAAAAAAAAAAAAATGCAGCTGTTGGGGACATGTGTCCACAGCAGCAGAGAACCTGCTCCCAGGTGGGAGAGGGCAGGGAGAAGGCCTCTCACCCCCAGATGCTTGCTTGTGCCCGTGGTTCCGGGGAAGCCAGGCTGTCACACCTCGAATGCAGATGCCAGAGGCGGCAAATGTCACCCACACGGCAGCCAGGACCAAACAGACTGGGCAGAGAGCAGGAAGCCTGGGTTCGGTCCTCTGCTCCTAACTGGCTTTGGGTCGGGGCTTTGGGTCGGGGCAGAGGACAGAGTCTCTCCGAGACCGATATTGCAAAGTCGAGGTGGCCCATCTCCGACCTGCACTAGGCAATGACCCCAACCCATGCCGGAATGGGCCCTCCGGATGATTCCCAAGGCCCTTTCCCCGAACGCCAACTGCCTTGGGGGCGGGGCCTCAGGGAATGTGGGCGGGGGCTGCCGGGTGGGCGGGGCATCCACTTCTGGTACCGCCCCCTCCCGCTCTGCCGGAACCTGCTCTTGTGAGTGAAGGTCAGTGGGGTGGGGACCTGTCTTTAAGAGACTGTCCTGCACGCTGGGGGCCTGCGCTTGGAGGGGCGGACATGCCGAGCCCTGCCCCCAGTGGACTGCCTCAGTGGGCCTGACTCCCCCACCCTGGACTCACTAGGTACCGCAGGTTCCTGGGGCCTTCAATAATGGGTCACCTCCTCTCAAGGCCTGCCCTGGTAGATGGTGGGCTTCAGTGTGGTATCGTGGGTACCACTCAGGCCTGGCACTCAGGGGGACCTGGATTCTGTCCCAGCTCAGCGATTTGTCAGTTGTGGGACCTTGGGACAGTCGTATACAAATGAGTTTAACACTGTACCTGGGAGGGGCTCCGAAGAAATCTCAGTAAATGAGACCCTGGCCGACCCCACCTTCCGCACCAGGAATACGCAAATCACCCCTGTTTGCTCAAGTCCCTCACACCACGACCCGTGTGTCGGTCAGCAAGCCCCGGCATGCGTCCTGTGAAATGTCTGCCCCCCTCCCATGTCCCTGCGGAACCATAGGAGGGTTGGAGGCGGAGGACAAGAAGGACTTGGAAGGACAGTCCAACACCTCTTCTAAGCTGGAGACCTGGGGTGGGGGGACCACGGAGACATCTGGGACTGTGGAGTGGCTCCTGGGGCCACAGGGTTAAAATTAAAACAGGCTGCCAGGCAAACTTCCTCACCTCCGCCTTCACCTCTCCTGCATTGGGGGCTGGGTTATTTTTAGAGGAAGGCGTGCTGGAGGAAGTGCCTTATTCATCCTTGAGGTGAGCAAAGCCTCCAGGAAAGAAGAGAGGGGCTTGTGTCTCCCAACTGCCCCTCCGAGCTCACCAGGGCCCTGTCCCACCCGGCCTGAGCCCAAGGACTTCATTGAGCTTAACATTTATGCGGGGCTGCCTCCTGCCAGGCTTTCTCTGCCCTGGGTCAGGCTAGCCAAGGGCAGAGGACCAAAAAGGGAGGCTGGGAGGGGGGCCAGCACACCTGGACTCCAGCAGTGATTGGGTTTCTGCCCCCCACCCATGCTAACCCCAACCAGCCAGGAGGGCTCCCCTTGCGCAGAGGGACAGGGCCAAGAGACAATATCGCTGGACCCCTTGGAGGGAGAGGACACTCACGTGGGCAGGAAGAGGTGCCTCCCTGCCCTGTCCCAGGGACCCCATCACAGCTGGGGCCGGGGCGAGCCGTGGGTGCCTCTTCACATGTCAGTGTGTCCATCTGCGAAGTGGGACTTTTGCAAGGACTTGAGGAGACCCAGCCTGGAATAGGACCCCCATCCTATGGGCCATTCCTGTGCCCTAGGCTCCCAGTGAGGAGGGTTATGAGAGGAAGGAATCTTGCCCTCAGGGTCCAGCCAGAGCTGGAGGCCCCAAGGAGAGGGGGAGGGCCACCTGGAGGAAGCTCATCCTGCCTTGGGTGGTCCTGGCTGAGGCTGAGCAGAGCAGAAGGCCCAAGGCTGGGGGGGGCCAGAGGAGCAAAGTCCACAGGAGCAAATGGCCCCACCAGCCACCCCACCCCCAGTGTAGAACACCCGAGTCACTCACTTGGCACTCTGGCCTGGTCACCCTGGGCTCCGAGTAAAGGCCCTTGTCTGGAATGCCATAGCAAAACCCAAACTGTCCCCAGCCCCTCAGGGCCCTAGCAAATGTGCCCGCCAGCCACCAGGAAGGGACTTTATTTCTGCTTCAAGCCTCAGGACAAGGAGGGTGTGACCCAGATCCCGGGCTGCAGACGGGAGAGGGCAGGCGGTGGTCCTGGCCAGGCCCCAGGAGGCAGGAGGTGGTGGCTGTGCTGTCCCCTCTCCAAGCATCAGCCCAGCCACTCTGGGGCCGAGGCCCTCCCAGGTGTCAGCCAGCAGGGTTTGCTGGGTGCCTCCACCCCCCAAGCCCTGCACAGCAGAATCAGGCCATGTCCTTCCCCCTTACTGGGGGCCCTGGGGGGCCTGGTCCTTGCAGCTGGCGTGCTTGCTGCTGGCGTCTTCCGGGGCCTTCCCGGGTGCTTCCCTCAGTGAGGAGGCTGCAGAAACATAAAGGCCTCCATGTTGCCGGGGCTGCATTTCTGAGAAGCTGGCAAGGAAAGGGAGGGGGCAGGCAAGGCCCGGCTCTGGGAGCAGGAGCCCTTCGTCCCCTGGGGCCAGAGCGATAAGGTGGCAGATTGAAGGCAAGTCCGGGGCCAATCTGGAGACACTCCCCCCGCCCCTAGAGCCCAAGTTCCAGTGTTTACCCAAGGGGTGATCTCTGGTGCCGCTCTGGGCCCTAGATGGAAGCTGACAGAGATTGAGGGGGCTTTGGGGAAAGGTGGGGGTTATGGCCTGGACAGGCCCCTTCTGGGCCTCAGCTGCTGGGGGCTGACATCTGAGAAGTGGGGGAGGGCAGGTAGGGGGCTAGGTGGCCCCAGCTGAGGCCAAATTCATTTCCTCTTCAAGGGACAGACTTCCCAGGGGACGAGACTTCCCAGGGCACAGCTTGCCCCTCAGTGCCCTCCACAGAGGCCCCCACTGGCCAGCCGGCTGTCTCTCCCGTGCCTCACACCTGGGCCCTGGAAGACCCCTCTCCTCCCCATACATCTTACTCCTTCTGGAAGCTTCCTTGGCTCTGGCAGCCTCTTGGCCTTTAATCAGGCAGTGGTGGCCAGCACGGGTGCCTGCCACTAGGGCGGCTCGTCTCCCCACTTCCTGGGCACCCAGGCTGGGCCTGCTCAGCACCCATTCCCTCACCTTTTCCAGGCCCTCTGAATGCACACTTGTCCCCCAGGCAGTGAATCAGGTGGGAGAGGAGAGGAGCTGGAATTGGTAGGAGCACAGAGTCTTGTGTCCAACAGACCCCAAATGCGTGCCTCCCTCTGCCTGGCCTGGGGCCCACCACGGCAGGTGGGGTCCTCGTGTGCAGGTGGGAGGGGGCATTGGACAAAGAGAGGGTCAAGGTCACGAGGCTCCCAGGTGCCCCCGCAGAGGCTCAGGCAAGTGGGGGGGCGATGATGTGCACAGACTGGAGGGGTAGCCCCCCCCACCCCCGCAGGCAGCCCCTCACTCACCAGCCGCTCCCTGGGTCTGGGCTGACCCCCTCAGGGCGCCCTCTGGCGGCCAGCGCAGCTCCCCACTCTCCACAGAGCCCGCCTCGCTGGACTCCACCACAATTGAGGGCAGCCGCGGGCCCAGCTGGGGGCCCTTCTCCCGGGCACCTGCCGCAGCCTGCAGGGAGGGCGGGCAGCGGTCAGGGGCTCCCTGCTCGCTCCCACACCCCACACCTGCCCAGCACTCTGTTCACTGGGAGCTTCACGTGTGTGCACGTGCAGCGTGGGTGTGCCAACCCCTCCCCCACCCCACCACGTGGGGGGACCGAGCACTCAGCACCTGGGGCACCAAAGGATCCATCTGCGCTCAGGCCTTAGGCCCATTTCACAGACAGAAGCCTGAGGCCAGAGAGGCCAAGGCCAATGGTGAGCGAGCCCAGGGCTTCTGTGCGCCCGAGCCGCCTCCCGCATCCCGTGTGGCCCCTTCCTGGGGTCTTCCTAGCGGGGCCTTTGGTCTCCTCCCCAGCTCCGAGGAGCTGGGAAGCTGTTACCATGGCAACCAGAGGCTCTCTGGGCTCGCTCTGGGCTCATTGTTCGGTGCCCACAAGAGTGTGCGGGGGCTGCCTCCCCAAGCCCTCCTGGTCCCCTCTGCATCCCCGCCTCCCATTCGAGGCCTCCGGAAGGAGAGGCCCGCGTGGCCAGCACTCCCGCACGGCCCTCTGGCTGAGGCCACAGCAGCTGATGTCCTGCCTCCCTCCCCTCAAGGAGTGCCTTGAGGAAAGGCGGGCCCACCGCTGCAGGACTTGGCTAAGTGGCTCAGAACCACCACAGCAGAACCATCTGAACATGTGTTGAAATGCACCTTCCCGGGCTCTCTGGGTGGGGGGCAGGAATCGGCGTTTTCACCAAGAACCGCAGGGTTCCCTCATGAGGCTGGCACTGCCTTGCAACTGGAAGCCTGCCGTGCCCCAGCGACGGGACCATCCGGCTCCTCTTGCTGGCATGGCCTCCGGCATCCTTCCCCACCTGCCGTTCTTCTCCCTGCCCTCCTCTGCGAAGGCCCGCTGACTCCCAGCCTGGGCGCTCCTCGGCCCAGAGTGTGCCACTGGAATGAGGGAGGTCCCACTAGCGGCGCTTGGAGGTCTGAGGCTTGGTGTCCATCTGTCCCGCCTGGGAGGCTGGCCCCCGTGTGACTCTGGGCTGGTCCCCTTCTCTAGCCCCACCAGCCGCCAGCAGTGCCAGCAGTGACAGTGTCCCAACTCTAGAACGCAGGACACCAAGACTGTACCCCTCATGTAGGGACTTCACTTTCTGGATGCATCAACACAGCCCCTGAAAACTAGGGGACCAGGGTGGGGGACTGTGGCATTGCCTCACCCACCAGGGAGCAGACCACTTTAGGGAACAATCCCGAGGCTCCTCGAGGTCCAGGAGTGGTGCCGAGGAAGTCGGGGAGGCTCGGCCCCCAGTTGCTTTATGCAGCAGACTTCTGGGGAGGAGCATCTGCCTCACTCACACGGATGGGTAAACTGAGGCAGGCCTCAAATCACAAGCCAGGGCTCGAGGCTGGCTTTCTCCTGTCCCCCGTGGCTGGCAGACCCCAGGGCCCCAACTGCGTACCTTTCCTGCTGGGCCTCCGGCCTCCTCTGCTGGGCTTAGCTCGGGCATGGCTGGCTGGGGGGCAGTCATGTTGTTGCCGCTGTTGAGGTGCGTGAAGACGGGGGTTGTGGGCAGGGGAGAAACAAGGTGTCTGCCAGGGGACGGATACTGGAGTCCATTCTCCTCCTGTGAGCTTCCGACCGCTCTAGCCTGCGCCCACCCCACCCTGGCCCACTGCCCTGCTTCAGCTGACCTTCCTGCGCCACTGCTCCCTGCCCAAGCCCGCCATCGGAAGGGACCCTGGATGGGCACCACGCAGCGTGCCCAGTGTTGCAGGGGGCAGGAGTGGAGCAGAAGCTGACTAAGCCTTGAGACCCATGAAGGTTTCTTTGAAGAGGGCCCACTGATCTGAGGCCCGATGGCTGAGCAGGAGGCTGCCAGGCCAGTGGGGAGGGGAGAGGATGTTCTGAGACAGGGAACAGCTAGGCAAGGACACAGAGATCGGAGGACCCAAAGAGGTTTCTGAGCCAGGAGGCTGGGAGCCCCTGGAGTCAGGTTCAAGCCAGCCAGAGGCAAAGGTGGCCAGGCCCTCTCCAAGAGTGGACAAGAGTGGCCCCACTCGGAGCCGGGCCCTCGATATCCACAGCCAAAGGGAAACCAGCATCCTGTCTGCACTTGGCCAAGCCCACTCAGGCCAGCACAAGGGCAAGGGAGCCCAGCCAGGGACAGCCCAGCAAGGGCTCTGGGAAGAGAAGCCCTGGTGGCCTCCTAGGCACCAGCCTCCGACTCTCCACCTGTACTTGGCCAGAGGCAGAAGTGGGGGTGGGGTCTGGCTGGGAGGCCGCAGGGGGCCACAGGCAAGGGGCAGGAGTGCTGGGAGGGGGCTGGGCAGAGGGACAGCAGCAAGCTGGGGGATGGAGTGCCTGTGAAGCCTTGCTGGTTGTGGGGGATGTGGTCCTGCAAGCACCCAGCAAAGGGGGAGGGTTGCTATTCTGGGATATGAGCTTTCTTTCACTGAACGCCCAGCTCAGTTTGGTTCAGGTCCCACTGAGACCCAGGGAAGGCTGGGAGGGGGCCATGTGCCTCCACCCAATCCCAGAGCTGGAGAGAGCCATGCCCTACCCTCCGTCTCTGAGCTGATGCTTCCACATCAGTCCTTCCATATGTGCCCCTTCTGGAATCCCATCCCAGAACTCAGAACCTCAGCTAGAGCCCAGGGCAACCAGGGCAGAGACCAAGAGACTGGACTCAGAGATCCACATAGATTCGAGAAAAACCCCAGAGAGAAGGCAGACAAACCAGCAAGCCACAGAGATAAGGCAGAGGTGATAGGACTGGGGAGAGAAGAGGGAAACAGAGCCAGAGGGACCATAGAGATAGAGGGAGAGAGATGGAGAGACAGAGATGAGAAAGACAAATGACAGAACTGTCACCTTGGGCCCAGCCAGGGGCCAGGCAGCCAGCCAGCAAGTCTCTAAGGGCTGCCTCCTCGCTGTCCCGCGCCGCCAGGGCCAGCGGCAGCCGCAGCATTCGCCCATCAAGGACTCCCGCCACCGGCCACCCCCCGCGCCCGCACCTCCGCCGGCGCCCAGGTGCAGCAGGCCAGGTGCGGTCCCCAGGTTCACAGCCCCCAGGAGCACTGCGCTCGCCCGGAGCCCGGTGTCCAGCAGCCAGGAGCTGAGCGCGGGCCCCACTGTCTCCTCTTTCCCGAGGGAGCTCCGACTCGGAACCCCCAAACTCCCCCCGCCTTCCTCCCCGCCCAGCCCCGTGGAGCCGGGGCGCACCGGGGGCGAGGGCTGGGACGAGTGTGGGGAGGAGGCGCCCCCCGCGCCTCGCTCACACTCACCCTCCGGCGCTGGATGCTCGCGCCGCCGAGTCGCCAGGCTCGGCTTGCAGCGGGCCGCCTGGGTTCGCCCTCCCCGGCTGCCGCCGGCCCTCCTCGGTGCTCTCCGCCCACACTCGCGCGCGGGCCCCCCATGACACTCTGGCCGCCGGGCGCTTCCGCGCTCCCAGCCCCAGCCCCGGTAGCGCGCCCCGGCGCATCCTCCCTTTGACAAAACCGCAGCCGCCAGAACAGGATCCCTGTCACTTGAGATCGCCAGCCTCAGGTTTGAGGTTCAGGAATTTGCGGCGGCGGGGCCTGGGGTGGGGGGTTCGGGGTGGTCAGAAGTCAGTGGGGCCAGAAACAGGGAGAGAAGACACGGTCCAGTTTGAAGGAGTGAAGAGAAGGGAAACAAGTGGGATGGCCACTGTGGTGGGGGTGTGTGTGTGGGGTGGGGGGTGTGTGACTGTCCTGCTTCCCGCTCCTCTTTGCCCCCAGTCCCATTCCCAAAAAGGAACACTGAAGTCCTGAGACAGCCTGGTGGACAGACCTGACAGCGGAGGGTGAGGTGCATAGCCTCTGATCCACATAATTCCCGCCCTTCCGCCATCCAGCCTCCAACACCCACCATCCTTATCTAACATCCAGCTTCTAGCCAACATCCATAGTCCACTATTCAGCATCCACTCAGCCAATCATCCACTAAGCACCACCTCACTTATCTTCTACCAACCAACCACCATCCAGCCACCATCCCACATTCGTTAACCATCCAACCCCAACCACGGCCCACGATTCAACCAATATTCAGCTCAGCCATGCATCTATTCATTCGTCAACCACACCCACTACCTGCTGAGCACCGATACACCATGAAAATACCCATCAGTCCAACATTAATTCACTGTGTGTCCACCCACCCCCTACCCACCCATCATTCCCTGTCTAACAGCTTTCAGTCAGTATTTAACAACTATTTGTCCACCCTCCATTTATCCATCCACCATATGCCCGGTGGTCATTAATCAATCTATCATCTCTCTACTACCCATTTACCTGGATTTATCCACTACCCCTCCACTTGACTCCATTGGTCCAATCAGCCGCAATTCGTCCCATCTACAATTCAGTTACCAATCAATCACCATCACTCCTCCATTGATATTTCTACGAACTACAACCCATCACCCATCCACTCACTAACCATCTACCATCCACCCAACTCTTATCCCTATTCACCACATATCTAGCCACTCATTGTCCACCTCACAATATCCTCTATCCATCAACCAGCCATAATTCATTATTCATTCAAAACCCATCTACTATCCATCTACATTCATCCATTCTGGAATGCTTTATTGAGTGCCTTCTGTGTGCCAACTATTGTTCTAGGTGCTGGAGATAGAGTGGAGAGAACAGTGATCATTCATCCACATAATCCATCCACCATTACAATCCATCCATGATCCCTCCACTTACCATCCGTGCATCAACTCCCACCCATTGTTCACTGTCCATTCAATACCCATCGTCATTCATCGTCCATTCACTATCCGCTTGCCATGGATGCATCTTCATCTGTGCACTAAACCATGCATTTGCCATACACCACTCACCACCCACCATCCATCCACCATCTCTCCACCACCTTCTCCTTCACCATTCCACCATGCTTCCATTTTCCGTGATGGAGCCGTCTGTCATTTAATTATCACCCATTCATCACCTAATCATCCATTCAGAATCACGCACTCATTATCTGTTCATCACCGACTTTCCATCTACACTCCTACAGCACACAAACCACTATCTGCTGACCTGGCAACCACTCATTTGCCGTCTGTTCCTCCATTCATGCCCCATTCAGCCCAGCATTCATGATCCATCCCTCTGTCACACATCCACTCCCATTTATCCGCCATTTACCCATCATTCTCTGTGAAAAGATCCATCACAGTCACCCACTTACTATTTACCTACCACCCACCCATGCTCCACGCTTCATCCACCCACTAAGCATCCACTATCCACCACCTATTACCTGCAAGTCCTCCTTATCTGCAGATTCTGTCTGGTCCGTAAGTCTGTCAATTGAGTGTCCACATCATCCACTCTCCATCTACCAGTCTAGTCTGGTTATCTGCCCATCACTTAACCAATTACCGCTTACATCAATGCATCCGCCATTCACCATCTTCCATCTATCCACCATCCAGCACCTCCCGCGACCATGCTTCCATGCCTATCCAACCATCATTTATACACCCATCCGCATCACACACACACCGTCTACCACTGCAACCACTTTCACCCATTAATTCACCTCTCCATCCAGCCATTCATCCCCTACCAACTGTGCATTCATCTAGTTTCTCACCCATCCATCATTCTGCCCTGCATTCATCCATTGCCCCTATATCCTTATGCTACCCATACACATAAACAACACTTAACCTTTCGACTTCTCTCTACCACCCACCTCTGTCATTCATTCACTCACCCACCCATCTTCTCACCATTCTCTCACCCATTCACTCATAAACTAAACATTCAATAATAAATATTAATATTTTTAAGAGTTTACTTATTTATTTGAGAGAGAGCAGAAGCAGAAGGGGAGGGAGAGGCAGAGAGAGAAGCAGACTCCCCACTGAGCTGGGAGCCCAATGCAGGGCCCGATCCCAGGACCCTGGGATCATGGCCTGAGCCGAAGGCAGAGGCTTAACTGACAGAGCCGCCCAGGCGCCCCAATAAATATAATTAGGGGCGCCTGGGTGGCTCAGTGGGTTAAGCCTCTGCCTTCAGCTCAGGTCATGTTCTCAGGGTCCTGGGATCGAGCCCCGCATCGGGCTCTCTGCTCAGCGGGGAGCCTGCTTCCCCCCACCCTGCCTGCTGCTCTGCCTACTTGTGATCTCTCTCTCTTTCAAATAAATAAAATCTCTTAAAAACCATAAATATTAGGGACACCTGGATGGCTCAGTTAGTTAAGAGGCTGCCTTCGACTTAGGTCGTGATCCCAGGGTGCTGGGATCAAGCCCCGCCTCTGGCTCCTGGCTCAGCAGGGAGCCTGCTTCCCCTCCCAGTCTGCATGCTGCTCTCCCTGATTGTACTCTCCCTCTCTGTTAAATGAATAAATAAAATCTTTTAAAAAAAACCCATAAATAGGGGCGCCTGGGTGGCTCAGTGGGTTAGGCCACTGCCTTCGGCTCGGGTCATGATCTCAGGGTCCTGGGATCGAGCCCCGCATCGGGCTCTCTGCTCTCTA